TATCTACCCTCGGGCTTCCGATTCGCCCGCATACCCCTTCATCTGAAAACGCAGCCCATAGATAGCAACCAAAACCGCCACAGGAAACGACAAGGTTGATGTTTATACAAACTGAATTAAAGCTGTCTTCGCTTGTGGGTTCTCCTTCGTCACACTCTAAGTGCAGCGGTTTGGGAAATTCGAATTGTGATACCCTTGTTTTCTTTGTGCTACAATAATTTCCGATCGAATGGGGTAGATGGTCGAATTACTTTTAATTTAATCCACAGACTGAAGCATTTTATTTTGTTCAATAATATATGCTACAAATATAGATTGCCATCGCAGTTGTGTATTGAAATTGGCCGCAATAACTTTTGTTTTCTGTCTTGCAGACAGAATCGAAACAAGTAACCACCAAATACAACCACTTAGAATATACTTTTCTTCAATTTTGATTCGGAATGAAATCAATCGCAAGATTTTTTGGAAGTCGTTTGAAATTACAAAGTATTTACCCTTCAAGAACTTTGTAGGTTTCTTAATCAAAGGACCGTTGTTTTTGGACTGATTTTTGATCTACACAATTTCCGTTTTCCCACCTTGTCCAATGCGTGTTCATATATTTTGGTTGTTACATAACCAGAATTCCGGATTATTCTAATACTCTTCTGATATATTATTGATTGCGATTCACAGATGATTATGTTATCTAAAATCTGGATTCATCTGAGTCGGAGTGACAAAAAATTAGTTGTGATTCTTATGCTCACAAACTGCTAATGCACGTTCTTCCATCTGTTTCTTTCTCGGGCTACATCAATCCTTTCAGTCTTCTCTTCGTCTTTTATGCAATTATTTAAATGGCTAATTTTCTCAAAGGAATATTTGTGTGATGATCGTCACACTACTTCGATCTATTCACATTTTGTCTGAACGCGAAATCCTCTCTTATCCAGGTCACTGAGGATCATTGGGCCTGGGGTGAACGATCGATTGAATACGGGTCCGCATTTATCACCGGTGTCTATGGGATGTGGAATGTCTACGTTTTTGTCGTCCTATGTTTGTACGCCCCATCACACAAGTTTCGTAGTGAAGCTGGACAAGAGCTGTATGATCGGCTTGTCACCAGTGTGCATATTCCACAGTCCTCAGACTCACAATCAGTCGGACAGGATGACACGATTGAATTGGTTCCGACAACAAACCGTACAAGACGAGCCACTCCAAAGTCGTCCGAAGGCCTTGCTTTTCTACGCAAAGCAACCCTGGAGTGACGACAATCACATTAGCATGTGCGTGAAATCGCGGGCTTACCGATCTCTCTCTCTCTCACTTTTCATGAGATAGCTTGAATAATTCATCTGTGTGACTACAACTTTTTTATCCGTGAATGTCTTTGTTTGCATTTAAACTCATTACAATCTACTTCTCCTTGCATGCAACGCATTTATAACCGATTTTGTGCTCCACCACATTTTACATGATCGCTCGTTCGCAATTCGGGTTATCTTATATGTCCATGGTTCTTTTAGCCATCAATTTCAATCTGTATCACCTCGTGTGGAATCATATTTTGTGCCTTTGCATTATATACATATATCGACCATTGCTTCGCCTTTCCTACTGTCTTCTGCTGATGTCACACTTCGGCTGGTAATGAATAGTCTCAGTTAGCGTTTTAAACTCTTTGGTCTCTCTCAGTAGAATCTTTTTAGACTGAAAAACATCACGATTGAATTAGGGCACTGGAAATACACCTTTTGAACTGAAATTGCATGAATACCTTCCTGCGAAAGCAAGGCCGGTTGCAAATTTCTGATTCAACTCAACGCGTTTCCACGATTGTCATTCGGACGAAAACCCGTGTCGACCTTTGATCGAAATTTCATAGATTTCAGCGAGCTGGTATGTCTCTCTTATTTCGTTGCGTTTATTTCAGGTGTAGTTAGGTCATCCTGTGTGTTGCCTCGAATTGTTGGAAGCCACCGACAACACAATGAATTGGACGCGCGATTGGCAAGAGTTGTCGTATGAGAGTCTTGCGTCGAGGCGAGTTACGAGCGGACGGTTTTCGCATTCATTCACCGTCGTGGTTCCTCCCACCGATAATGCATGGGGTTCCGGTGACTTGAGTCTTTGCGATGCTTATCAAGCATCCAGTCAGTGCTCAGTCTCTGGTTTAGTTTAGGTTGTGGAACATTTGGACTTGGTCTGGTGATTTTTCGAGGTTCTTGCTTCTGCACTATTCTCAGACAATCCACTGAGCTGCGGTAATAAGAAGACCGTTTTGAAGTTTGTGATCGAATATCGTTCGCTGGGGAGCGAGTAGGTAACATGAAGCTTACCTTCGAGACAAGTGATAGTTTAGATAGCACGGGTGACCAAACCAAATTTACCCCAACGTTTTCAACTACTGATAAAAAGCAACGCGGTTAACGTTCAGTCAAATGAGAAGACCGGGACGTAGATTCCAGATTAGTTAGCCAGCGGGGCGTGTCCTACTGGTAAAGATCTATACATGCTGCAAGACAGTGTGAATCACGGGAACAGGAGACAATTCCGTTGCTGAGCGTTAACTGGTAGTTATTGGATAGCTCCCGTTATCTATAATCACTAAACGCGGATTATCTCAACGCTCGTGATGAGGATGGAGAGCAATATGGCTTGCTCTGAACGGGTAAGAAGATGAACAACGCGTGACCAACGGCTCACCGACCAAGGCCTGCAGGGCGAAGTTATCACGTGCGACGAGATAACGTGACTCACCTAAAAAAGGGCCAATTCTACGGTTGAGCACAAACATGTAAGGGGCACCAGGTAAAACATCGCGATGGCACTGCACCTTGAAGTTATACGTGTTGCGTTGGATACTCCCGGGTTAAGCAGAACTGAATGCTGCCAGGCGGGTCCCCGGGTTGTGGATAGGGGAATACTGTAATGATTGTAGTAGTGATAGTAGTCATACGCACTGGCACTAGCACGCAATATCCCATGTAACTGAGATGCCAGAAAAACGCCACAGGTGTAGTAGTTCATTTATTGGAAGAAATAATGGGGATTAAGTAATAAGTACAAAGTAAGCTCATTGGTTATCTAGGCTTCTACCGATCGCGTTCCAGTATTGCTTCTGTCTGGACCGCAAAGTCTGATTGGTTGTTACGGTCTATCTATGATATGTAGTCAGTAGCAGTGACATGTACGCGCGTTGATGACTTCAACCGTGGAGTTTGATTATTCGTAGTTGTCCAAAAATTGTAACGTGCCACTACAGGGTACGCATCATCTTGTAGGCACAGATACCTTCCTAAAAGAAGGTTAGTTATGAATAAGTTATGGCATACCGCAACAAATAAGCAGTCGCGAACAAACAGCGGCGGTACTACCAATGTGTTGTGGGTTTCAGGCGGATCACCCGGCTCCTGTTTAAAAGCCGCATAATCCCATGTACGGCGTCATGACAAAGGTTGATGTGATTGGCCTTTAAAAACTAAAGTCATTCACCCCTTACTTCTGAGGCGAGGGATTACTTCCCACTGTCTTGCAGTTCGCACTTGATTGTGCAATGGCTAGATGTACACCTGCAGTGACACGCCACTTTCACCTTTTACCTACAACTTCTTTTCTACTCGCTACGAGCTTTTGTTTTACCGGGTGCACCTTACCTGTTTACGATCAACCGCGGAATTGTCACTTGTCCCGGTGAGTCACGCTGCATCGCTACACGTGTAAACTATCCACTGCAGGTCCCATCCTATAAACCGTTGTTCACGAGCTATCTGTCTTCTTACTCGTTCGGAGCAATAGTCGTATTGCTCTTTGTCATACTCAATCGTTGAGGTAAATTGTGTTTGGTTATCGTGGTTAGTGTTAGTTATCTAAAGTGGTGAGCCCGTACGTTCTTTTATGGACCGCAATATATATATATATATTTCCGCAATTTTTTTCGCATCTTTGTTTTTACGCTTTATCGTTTTTGAGATTGTTATTCTAGCGTATCTGTAATCGTAATTTGTTCTCAGATTATGTTATATACGTAACGTTTCATCATGTTCGACGAGTATAAACCAATCGTAGGGGCAATGTTTTTGCCAATTCCCGACCTAGCAGTAACCAAGCCGTCGGTATGGTTCACGGTATTCGCCCAAGCGCTGCGCACTAAGGGGATAGTGTC